TCTTCAAGAAGATCAAAGTTTATTACTCAAAATTATTCTTTTTCAGAATTTTGACTATACAAAACAATGTATGAATATTGAAAAATGAGTTGTAGAGGTCCGTTTATACAAAATTTACTTTTGAAACTAACCAAGTTAGGTTTGGGAAAAATGAGACAACGATGGATTGCATACAGTAAGCAATCAATTGGAGAAAGAAAAAAACAATGTCCCATTTCAAACTCAGCTAATCGTATATGGATCTTTCCTCGATCATTGCCGTCTAAGAAATTTATTTTCTAAAGGGATCCATTGCCTAGCGATTCCATATCAATCACTCCTCATTGTCAAATATGCAACCGATCACTCTATATGAGTAATCTATTTTGAATGTGTTTTTTTTCTTTTAAAGGTTTTTGGATTCTTTTTTACCAAAAATGCAAAAAAATATTTTTCAATGTAACCCAAACATTTATGCAAATCTTACCTGAGTGGATAATATAGCGAAACTTTAATCTCAATGTGACATACTGACTAAGTCACACTGAGATTAAAGTTTGTCACACATTTAAAATATCTTAACATTCTATTGCAACCAATTTTATCACAAAAACAGCCAATTAAAAATATTCTATTACAGTGGCCATGTGTGCTAGGTCGGAATTGCTGTATTTGAAAATGAAAAAGAAAAAATGGGAGTAAAATAGGAATGGATTATATAAGTTTTTGTTTTTTCTATAGCGATCTGGGTTTTTCCCCGTCCTTTGTGGTATTCCGGACTCAAGTTCCGAGTTGTGTGCTGATATCTGTATCTTGTTTCCATCATTTAATTTCTTATATTTGAGTTTTGGGATGTGTTGGGCAGGTTTGTATCAGGTTGGTTGTGATTAGAAACACAGTGTTACTACCCAGTTTTTGGTGTCGTCGCTCGAGCAAGGCTTTTGTCGCTCGAACGAGCTTTGAGTTTGTGTCTCTTGGCTCGAGCGAGCACTCTTGCGCTCGAGCGTGCGTCTGCGTGTCTTTTGACCTGAATGTTGTGTTTCTTGGCTCGAGCGAGCGAGCTGTATGTTTTGTGTTTCTTCGCTTGAGCGAGAACTCTTGCGCTCGAGCGTGCTTTTGGGTTGCAGACCTGAAGCTTCGTATTGTTCACTCGAGCGACGCTTCTTGCGCTCGAGCAAGGTTTCTTTGTATCTGGTCACTCGAGTGACCACTCCTTCGCTTGAGCAAGCCTCGCATATATCAGTTCACAACAGGGGTCTTCTTCTCCATTTTTGATCCTCTTTCTTCCTCAAAACCCTAGATCGGCAGCTCCTCTCTCTAAACCCTCTCTCTCTTTACAAATACACATTGTTCTAGACCTTCTGCCCTAGTCTCTTTGTAAGAAAGGTTGAGCGTCGCGGGGGCTACGTTTTGATCCGAAAAAGTTTGGGTTTGGAGCACTTTCAAGTTCTTCTCTTCTTCTCCTTTGGGTTTCTCCATTTGAGGTAGGGATTTCCTTACTCTTTTTCAATACCTCGTTCATAGATAGACATGTGGTAAATTTATATTGCATGAAATAATATCCATGTTGGATTTCTTTGAAAATCATGTAAAGGGAACCTAGGGTTGGTTGTTTGTGAATGAGTTTATTATCATTGATTGTTGTTTGGGCTAATTAGGGAGTAAACTAGCATGTTATTGTTGAAAGAAGAGAAAACCCTTAATTATATTTGGATTTGGTAAATTAAAAGGGGGGATGATTGAACAATGTTTGTAAATTACTATTGTTGATATGGGTTATGTAAAAGTGTTGATGGATAAGGGATTAACTATGGTATTGGGATTATTTTGAAATGAATGTATTGGACTAAAATGAGTTATGGCTTTATTATCCGTGGAATTGATTTTGTGAAAATGAAAGGAATGGAATTGGTTTTATGAAATGAAAAGAACGGAATTGGTCTTGTGAAATGGGAAAAGTGTTTTGGAATAAGTGGTGGAATATGTTGGCTTGGAGAATTATGAAAGTTGATCTTGGAAATGGAAAATGAAATAATAACTCTATATGAGTCTCGAAAAATAAATATAAGAATTGAACTATTATGTCAGGAGTGTTGAATACACACATTTGGGGGTTTTATCTTTACTATCATACTAGTGGCGTGGTTGGGTTTAAGATCTCACGAGAGTTGAGTCTTTTAATAGGTGTATTGAATACACGCATCTAGAGGTTTGTCCTTGGTCATCGGTGTAGGATGGCATTGTTGTGTTGAATGGCGTGTATGCATTACACTTGTGTTGGTTGAACATCATTGAATAGCTCATGTGCATGTATTACACTTGTTGGTTGTGCTTTGTCGCGTTGAAATGACTGGTGTTATATACCGCGCTTAGAATGAGGGGTACCATTACCTTCCAGCTAGCACCTGGAGAATTGGCTGCGCTGAGAATCAGAGATACCATTCCCTTCCAGCTAGCGCCTGGAGAGATGGAGGCAGAGGTACCATTCACTTCCAGCTAGTGTCTAGTAAACTAGCATGTTGTTGTGGAGAGTTATGTCATTAGCCTACCGTGCTGAGGCAGGTAGAGCCGGGGTTGTGTATCGTTGATGTTTCATTTCGATTATGTATCATGTATTATAATGAATTGTGATTTTGCAAGGGTAATGATGGTTATAGTTTTGAAAGGGCGAGTTGCTTCATTTGTTGATCACATACTTGTTGATGATTTGTTGTTTCCCTTTTTACTGAAGGTATGCATGTATAGATATGAATGTGTTGGGAACAGGCATAAATACTATTTTGGAGGTTTTGGAAAGTGCGAAGGAAATTGGGTATTTGTGAACATGTTTTTGAAAAAGGTGAATTTGTTATAAGTACGGAAAATGGGAGAAAAGTAATGGGCTTGGTGAAATTGTTTTCTAGAACTGTTATTATCATGAAAGTTTGGGAAAAGGGGGTAATGAAAAGAAAAGAAAGGTGAATCGCTTACACTGTTGAATGAAATGGCTGATTTTGAGAAAAGTTCATACATATGTATATTTTTGTATAAACTGCCACATTACTATTCTAGTATGAGATTCAGCATTCATGATCATAGCTATCTGTAAGTTGTTATTGTTGAGGATCATGTTGAGATCCCTACTGGACTATATGTTCATCCCACGTTGTTGAATCTTTTTCAGGTGATAATCAGGATATGCTACAAGATTTTGGATCTTCTTATTTGTTGGCCACATGTCCTTTTTTGTGTTGGCAAAATGCCATTGATGTAAAAGGGTTACACCCTTCTTCTTGATTTTTAAATGATGTAAGCCAACGGGCAGTTTATTTTAGTATGCTTATATTGTATTTAATTTGCATTCGGATGAGAGAATTGTCATTTATTTCTACTGGTTGAACTAAAGAGTTTTTCTACATGTTATCTCTGAAATGGAATTAAATGAATGAGTTTGGTAATGATTTCGACTAATAAAAAGTGGGGTGTTTCATTTTCTTTCATTTTCCTTTCTCTTTCTAAATCTTTACATAAATCTATGATTTAAACACAATCTTAAAACCAACTATTCTCACTTCTTCGCACTGGGGCCCAAGAGGTCTCTCAATTTTTTGGGCTAAAACTGATTTGTGACCCAGAGCCTAAAAATCTTTTATTGGGCCATGCACCATCTTCGGAACTCTTTCTCTCAAGTTGTTATGAATGAATGTTTTGGGCTGTGATGATGGACAAATTCCTTGTCTTCTATCTTGGCCCATTAGCAATCCAGTTGAATTGAACCTCAACCTCATAAAAAGAATGAAGGGTTAGTTTGTTTTATTTAATGATAAATTTATTATTATAAAAATATTTTTTTTTAAAAAATTCAACTACTTTACACTCTCTATATCATATTTTAATATAAACTAATACAAATAAATTAAAAATAAATCAAACTCGCAAACGAAAGTTAAAAGGTGAAATTGTAAATAGATGAGACAATCACAAAATAATTACATTACAAATGCGAATTATTATTATTATTATTTATACAACTCTGACATACGAGAAGAGTTGCACTAAGTACAGGAATAAATTTGCATCATGCACAAAGGGGAGTTGCACCATCATGAAATATAATTTTTTTGCCAATGGTCCACTTAAATTTAATTTTCGCAAGTTAAAATATTTCAATCATTTACTTTATCACTTTGAAAAATTTCTCAATATTATTGTCAATATCAAATAATCATGACGTAAACAAACAAACAAAAAAAAAACATGCATTGCAAAAGGCGGAAATTAGATATCAGTTGTACCATGAAAAATGTATTACAAAATTATGAAAAAAATTATGTTTAATTATTAATATGTACAAAATTTACCATTTATTTATAATTTTTTGCAAAAATACACTGAATTAAAATTCCCCCTTTAAAAAATCACAACATTTTCATTATTTTATTACTCAAAATTGTTAAATAAACAAGTCAAATCGCTAGTAATTATTTCTATAAACAAAGCTATCTCTCTATTTATCCTTTAATGAAGGCTGTGCTGGTTATGGGAAATAGAGATTGTTTGCTACAGTTTTTGAGGGATGATTGGGGTATTTTGGAAAGATAATTAAAACCTGTTTTTTTTTTTTTTTGGCTTTTTTTGACTTTTTTGTGGAAGTGGGATAAAAGTTGAAAAGTGACTTTTAACCCACTTCCCAAAATATATTTCTTATTTTAATTTAGAAATCTGTGCCAGACTGTTTGGTACAATTTCTGCTTATTACTTATTAGGTAGAAATAACTTAAATCACCTGAAAAAAAATTAATTATTTAAAAGTTGGGATAGAAATACTTTTAACTTTTACTTTCTGATTATCAACTTTTAACTTAAAAAAAAAACTCTACTAAACAGGGCCATAAGCCCCTTCCTGAATCCTCATTTTAGTAAACAACCCAGATATGTTCAACCGAGGTATGGCTTTGTATCTTTCTTATACAGTCTATTTTCCAATGAATGCAGTTCTGAAATAAATAAAAGTAAAGAGGTTTAGTTGAAGATCACTATCATAATGACAAACCACAAATTTTTTTTATTCATATAGAAAAATGTGCAACAATTATAATTACAAAGGTTTCAAATTAATGTACAAACTCTGGAAAGTAGTATAAGTTCTCCATGCTTTCATAATCTTCTAATTCCAAATTTTGCAAAGAAATGTTAAATGTGTCTATGAAGCTAAAGAACTTAGCTTCTTTTCAAGAACTTTGGCACAGCGAAGAGCATCGAGTGCCTCGGCTTGCTTTCCTGCCCGTTTCAAGTTTATCGCCTCTACTTTCTCTGCCTTAATCTGTGCCTCCAGTCGGATTCTTTCCCGGCTAGAGTTTTCACCCTTATCGACGACAGACTTTATTGGCTCCGGTTTCTCAGGGCCTTTCAATACAGTACTATCATCTTCAAATCCTATTTCTTTCAAAGCAAACAAAAGTTGGGGATCAAGAAAATCCTCCACGCCAACATCGTCAGCTGGCTTTGCTCCACTGACAGAAGGTTTTGCAGAATCATCCAACTGGGCTTCAAGAGCCTTTGCCAATTGGAACTCAGCCTCTGATTCTTCAATTCGACCTTCCCTTCGGAGTTTCAATGCAAGCCGTTTGTGGCCGAGGGACTCCTGTTGCAGCTTGAAACGATCTCGACCCAAGTGTGGTTTCAGAGTCAAATTTGACGGGCTGTGCTCTTTTTGTACATTAGAAGGGACAAGTGAAGTAGAATTTGAAACATCACTAGAACTAGTACCAGGGTCAGAATTGTTCTCTAAAAGCTTTGCTTGTCGAAGTTCCTCCCTAGCTTCTGCCAATTTCCCCTCTCTCTTCAAAGCAACAGCCTTCCTTTTGACAGCCAAGATTTCTTGCCGGACAGAACTTTGGTCATTGCGAGAAACAGTTGCCAAAACTAAATCAGATTCATCAATATGTGGCTTCTTGTTTTTATGAACTGTTGCATCTATTTTTTCATGTTCAATGTGGTCATTGGTTCCAAGATCTTCAATGACTAGATGATCAGGATGTACAAAATTACTAATGAACTCATTTTCCACATGCTTATTGGTTTCAGCTCGCATTTCTTTTTTTGGCACTTCCATCTCTGCCAATTGGGCCTCCAATACTTGCGCCATTTTCAGCACTTCCTCTGCCTCCTCAATCTCCCCTTGGCGTCTGAAGGCGAGTGCCTTTCTTTTCAAGCCTAAAAGTTCCCTCCGGATTTCACCTTTACTGCTTCTAGACACACCCATCGGAATAGAATTAGCAGCTCCACTAACAGAAGAATCGCTGATCTGCTCAGAAAGATTGTCATTTTGTTTAGAAGGTTTGGATGGAAATTTAACATTTTTGTCATCTTCGTCTTTCCACCCCAAGTTCCTTAAAAGTGAAAGATATGTCAGGTCATGCATGTCCTGCTCTGTCACGTCCCCATCTCCATCATCTCTGAGATCTGGAATTGCTAAATTATCAGATTGCTTATTACTCACATTGACCTGTGTCGCCTTCACTTTTGAGGCATTATCCATCTCTTCCAACTGTTGCTCAAGAACCTTCCCTTTTTTCAATTCTTCATCTGCCTCATCCAATTTACCTTCCCTTCTCAAAGCTAGAGCTCTCTTTTTCAGGCCCAGAAGCTCTTTCTGAACCATTAGTCTACTCTTTGGTGCCAATTTAGAGTCTGCTTTGTCCATTCCATCAACATTTCTGACATCGGCCTCCTTTGGCTTTGATGGGTTTTCGGCAGATTGAACAATTGAGCCCTTCTCAACTATTGCGGAATTGTGTGCCTTTGAGTTAGTTACTTGAGTAACATAGTTGTTGACATCCTTTTCAACTACTTCGTCAGTCCAACCTAATGATTTTAAAGCAGTAGCAATTTCTGGGTCATCCACATCTTTGTCAGTCACTTCAAAATTGATGTCAACACCAAGATCATCTGTGATGCCTATCAGATTATCAAAATCAAAATTGGCATCTGGCTCATAGGCAACCAACAGGCTATCTTGCTTATCACCGTCAATAGCATGGATCAAAGCAGAGAGTTCATCATCAGAATCTTCAGCATCAGCCAAGAATTCTTGTTCCTCAAATTGCTTTTCAAGAACTTTGGCTCTCTTTAGCTCTTCCTTTGCTTCAGCAAGTTTCCCTTCACGCTTCAATGTCAGAGCCTTTTTCTTATGTGCAATGACTTGGGTCTTGTCAATGCCACGACTTCCCTTGTCTGTATTAGTTTTTGGTGAGATTTCTCCAAGAAGATTAGAAAGTTCACCCTCTAAACTTATGCTTGCTGGTTTCTTATCTGCACCACGAAGATCCATATCAGACCATCCAAGTTCTCTGAGTTCAGCAGCCAGGTCAACTTTTTCTTTTCCGTTTGCAGAAGAGAGTTTGTTTGTTCTTCCAGAGTATGTACTGTCAACATTGGTTTTCTGGATCTCTGTTATGTTGCTTGAAGACAAAGCTTTTTTAGGATTTTTTCTTAATAATAATTCCAAATCCCCAGCCTGCCGCTCAAGCTCTTTTCCCCTTTTAAAAGCTTTTAAAGCCTCTTCAGATTTTCCTCCTGCTTTTAGAATTTTATACCTCTTCTTTTCATCCAGAGCTTGCTGACGCAATTCTTCAGGGCTAGCAGATTCCCTCTCACCCAGCACCTGATTAGGCTGCACAACAGAAATACTTCTAGGTATTTCATCTCCCTCAACGTGAGTGGCCACTTCTTGAATGTTTGAAAATGATGCACTATTTCTATCCCTTTTGAGTGTGGAAACCATGTTAGCCGTGGAACACTCTCCTGAAGAAACCAATTCCTTATTCTCATTACCCAGAATCTGGTTTACAACTTCATCCTCATGTCTAGATGTCAGTTTTGAACCACCTGAAAATAGGCTATCAACATTTAGTCATTAAGAGTACCTCTTAATATAAAGAGTAAACTATGATTGAAAAGAAGGGGAAAAAAAAAAAAAAAGATCTGATCCAGTACCAGATATTCAATCTACCAACATATTCCAAATATATATGCCAACTTTATGTCAGAACTATTGAACACATCAAGTTCCGGAACAAAAATGACTCCTGATTGACAAACAGTTACACTAATAGCATACAGCTACATTCATAGAATATTACAATATTAGTCATATTTGAAGTCAATTATATGCAATTCTGTGTTATTCTGCATGCAGGAGAATCCAGGGAAGCAAATACTTGGCAACAAAATCAATTGGTTATCTCATGAAATCCATTTGAAACTTATTCAACCCGAACATTTACTTGGCAGTATACAGAGTTTCAACCAGGAGCTAATCTTGTAAATAAAATATGAAAACATTGTTAGTGTCCAGTAATCTTTTGACTTAGTGCCCCTTCCAAAACATGTTGTTGTTCCACGAAAAACAAAATTAGTGAACCATAATGCCAACTAAAATTACAATCTTGGACAACAATGAAATCTAAGACTGTACCTCTCCTAGTTTTGTTCTCATGTCCATGTCGCATTTCAAAACGTGCTGCCTCTTCGAGTTTTTTGCAGGGTTCACAAATACGAACTGGTGAATCACCATGTCCACATAACACCATTCTTTGCCGGGTACAAGCGTTGCAAAACAAGCCCCCACACCTGCGGCAGTGATGCTGAAAATCCACAAAACATCAAATAAGAAATAAAGGCTAAACGGAAATAATTAGTGCAATAGAAACTCATGTCTGGAAGTAACATCTAATTGAAAACCACAAGAACAGAAAAAGCAATTACTAATTGGATACAAATGTTTCGTCTGTTATATAAAGCCAATTGTCTCAAGAATATGGTCAAGGTAATTTATTCTCCTATAAACAATACACTGCTATTCTTCTATAACGATGCAATGCTCATAGCATCCAATATTTGAACTCCAATAATGACTACAAAACAAGCTTAGTAGCATCCATATGTGTTCAGCATGAAAGTTATGTTTAAAAGTTTTGTATCTTCTCCTGCTGAGCTGCCTTACTTACACAGATTTCCTTATTATTAGTACCTTACCAAAACTTTCTGAAACGAGTTGTTCAACAAAAGTACTCCTTCAACTCATTGCCAAACAAGAGACCCAATGAAACCTGAGATAGATCTGGTATCCATTCAAGGATAAAATGTACGTTAAAGTAAATAACCAAATTTTTTTAGATTGGCTTTAAATATCAGGATTCATGTTTAAAATCCAAATAATGAAAAGCCTCTTTTTTTCCCCCTTTAACCAGGAAAAAACAAACAGTATCTTGCTATCAAATAGCCATGCATGGAACTTGTCAACTACAAGACTTGTTGCTTCATAGATTTGAAAACAAAAAATCAATTATTTGGTGAGCAACGTTTCATACTAGATGCAAATTAAGTTTTGCCTAGGTCACCACCAAGCTACGGTTTTGAATTAGCATAAAAGTTGTGACTAGTTGGTTGGCTTTTATTTAGACTCCACGCCCAATAGAATTGGGCTACAGAAAATCATCATTTCTACAGATTTTTCTTTGGCAAATAAAGAAAGTCATTAAAAAAGACCTATGAAGGGGATGCAACCGAAGTACATAGAGGGTATACATAGTGAGCCAACAAAATCAAAAGAAAAAAAGAAAAAAAAAGAATATGTCCCAGTAACTCTTAATCTATGGACACAGGGTACAACTCTCTTAGCCTGATAGAGAAAAGATTTAAAAAAAAAACGATCAACATCAAATACTTCAGCTCTAGTGTAGGATGATCCACCTCCATCAAAGGTTTGCCTGATTTCTTCCTAACGGATGCATCAATGGCACCTACAACACAGCTGTAGCATGTAGCCCACATCTTCCAAGCAATCTTCTTACCACAGCTCCCTCACAAACACCCTATGAAGCACGAACACCTCTTTGAAGGTCATGTACAGGTGTCCGACACGTGTCGGACACGGACATGCTCCGAACACGTGTCAAACAAGATGGAAAGAGCCGGACACGCTGAGGCACTTGAGACACGCTACGGACACGTTAGAACACAGTTGGGACACACTGGGGATACGCTGATGACACGTTGAGGGCTATTTTTTTTTTTAAATAAATTTTTTCACTAAAATAATATATCTAATATTGATAAATTTGATAAAATTAAGCATGACATAAAATACATATTAAATATTTAAAAATATAACATAAAATAAACATATAAAATTATATGTTTTGCATGTGTCCCCAATGTGTCATGTCCTCTATTTTTTAAAAAATTTCGTGTCCGCGTGTTTGTATCCGTGCTTCTTAGCAAACACCCAATCATACCAACAAACAACTCAAGCTTAACCCCTGACCAAGGTACTAACCCCAAGAGGGTCAAGGCCCCACTCCCGACCTAAACAGGCTTTACAGTGTTAGGGTGCCATTTTGAAGTTGGAGCCTCAGCAAGGGGAGGTGATTGTCGAGTGGGCGAGGTGAGGTAAGGTGAGGTGAGCCAAGGCACATGGTACCGAACATATACTCGTCATGCAATGGTGGTGAAGTGCATAGTGCCTAGGTGAGGTACTTACGTGAAGTAGCAAGGGGAAGGCTCATGAACCAATGTGCAGTGCTTAATTGAGTGGGTTACAAGCAAACAAGTTGAGGCAAGGTGAGGAAGTGGTGCCTAGGGGAGGCATCCCATCTTGTGAGGGCTCTAGGCAAGTAGATTGTCTAAGGTAATAGAAAGTTCGTGCCTCATGGTTAAGATGCATAAGCCACATACCCAAAATGCTGGAAAGGTGGGTGGGATAACAAGATTTGTCATAAGACTCACAACCAAAAGAAGAAATCACCATACCATAAGAAACCAATGATTATATCTTCTCAAACAACCTAAATCCTCTAAGCTTAATCAACATTTGATAGGTTATTCAACCTTGAGCAATCTTGGTTATTAGCTATGAAGCACGGGTACTCCAAAAATAGTGCCGTACGAGTACCGGTTACTTACCGGGTGCGGGTACGCGTACCGGTACGGCGGTACGCGTACGGCAAAAGAGGGTCCGGTACGTTTGGCTTATTCGGGTACGGCATGGGTACGCCATGGGTACGGCGTGGGTACGCCAAGGCCTTTTTTTTTTTCTTTTTTTTTTTTTTTTTTGCCCTTGCAAATTAGCAATTATTATTATTATTTTTTATTTTTTTTGGTGCCCTTGCAGATCAGTAATTTTGATGTTTCTCTGTTGTCCTGTTTGTCTGTATAAATTGTAGAAGCATATCAACAAATGATTTTAATATTTTTAAAAAGCAATTTGAACCAAAAAAAATAACAAGGCCTATAAAGGGTAGTTCTGTGTATGACTATGCATTATGCTTTTGTTTTAGATCTTCCTAGAATTTCTTTATAAAATCTTTAATCATAACAAACTTTTAAAGTTTATGCACAAAACATTAAAAATTGATACTGTATTAGTTGATTAGTAGTTGTTGGGAATGATGCAATTTTATGTATTATGCAAATTGCAATTGACAACCTACACCAATTGAGAATTTTTTTCCTTTATTGTTGGAAATTAACTTTAAATCTTTCTTTGGTCTCCTGTTATTTCTTTGGTCTCACCCTATAAAAATAGCAAATTGATGAGCAAAAAGAAAGATTTTAAAAATAAATTATGATCACAAATTCACAGTGCATAACATATCAAAGTGAGAGATTTCACAAATATTATTTTTAGCGCTTAATGGTTTTAAATTATAGGAAAATGAGTAGTTCTTTTTTTAGTTTTGATATTTAATTTTAATTTGTAGATTGGATCCTTTAATCAAAATTATATTTAAAAAAAATTAAAAAAATATCGGCGTACCGTAGCCGTACCCGTATCGTACTTTTTTTGAGTTTTGCCGAATCGACGTACCCGCACTCGTACCCGTACCGTACTCGTACCCGCACCCGTGCTTCCTTGGTTATTAGTAGGGCTTCGTTCATTAGCTGGTGTTTGATCAGTCATTCTAAGGTGGCTGACATTTTTTTAGCTATGCATCATCACACACCTCATGTGGATCTAGCTTTCAACAGTGTAGAACATGTTGGAAGAGTCTAAGAGATGTTATTGGTTGCTAAGTTACATGCATGCTAGTAAGGCGTGTATGTTTCTCATTCTGGTACAAATTCATATTTTTCATGACCTACACCTAAGAAGCACGGACATAGATTCCAGCAAATTAAATAAAAGGTCACGCTTGGCAAATACGACACCGATATGGCATCTGTTTTAGAGTGCCCGTGCTTCATAGGTCTATACCATGCAAGTAAAAGAAATCCTAAGCAAATGTTCGTTCTCTCAAAAGTTGTAATCTTCCTATTACTAATTATGACAACTTCCTAATTTATGTACCACCTTGACCTTGGGATCAAATGAATTTTTGGGAAGCTACATACAACAATTACTAGCTTACCAATCATAGTGACTTGGCTTTGGAGCAACTTATGTGGGCTCTGCCCCCTAAAACCATTGTTTAAGTCTTCGTCATTTACTCCCATTTATTCTATCATGCACCAGTCTTCTTCATCTAGAGGCATTGCATTGCATCAATATGGACCAAATAATCTGTCAGGTGTACATTCAAAGATGGATAAAATTGCTATTTACCTATCCTTCTAGGGAGGAGTGAATAGTAGTAGAAACGAGTAAATGGTATTTTCCCTTAGTCCAATAGTAGAATAAAGGGGAAATAGCATTTACGTGGGACAGTCCCAAAATAATTGCAGTACAAGTGGAATCCTTTTTGGTGTTAGTTTGACACACAGGAAAGGACTGCAACATACATGGGGAGAGACTTGCACCTCATCAAAATGAGATTTATTTTCCACTATCCAACTGAAATGCAATTTGCCCTGGAATCAATCAGCTATTACAAACTTCTTTTTAGTTGCAAGGAATGATTCTGATAGAGAAAATCCATCCCCTATAGCACTCGCATATTTCACTACTAGCACTTACTTCCATAAACATTCACTTTCCACTAGCTCTACAATAAACACTTCAAGAAATGAGGCTGATTGAACAAATTCGGTTTCTTCAATCCACAAACCCCAACTAATTCCCATATAGTTGATTCAAGAAAAAGCAAATTTTGAGGAGATTTTGAATTATTTAGCCATTTCAATAGTCTTCAACAATTTCTGCAATAATTTGGTTGATTTGGCAACTTCAAATTTAAGTTATAAAGAGAAAAATACCGACAAATCAGTTGTGGAAACTCAATCCAAAATTTGGCAAATTAAGCAAATCTAAACCAGGGCAAAACAATTTCACCAAAATTAGCAAGTCAAAAACTATGACTTGAACTGAATCATTATTGAACAAGTTCTATAACAGCGTTAAACAAAACAAATTCTCATACATCCAAAAAAACTCCATGCTATCACAAAAATAATCAACTCATGGTATTCAAGTTTCAAAATTAGAACCCTAAAACCAATTTCAGAAAATGGGTCTGAAAGAAATCTATAAGATAATCATATAAATTGCTCATTTGAGAGAGATATCAACAATATAACCTAATCATGACCATCAGTTCCAGTAGACTAGAGAGAGAGAGAGACCTTGCGATAGATGAAGGTGAACTGAGAGGAACATCCTTGACAATGTGTGCCATCGACCACCCAATTGTTTCCTCCCTGCAACCCGATCTTCTCCAACATCTTTTTTCTGGGCTGTAAGAATGAAGACAATCGAAAGCACAACCAAACGAAACAATTTATGAATTCTGAATATCAAAACGGAGCGACTCTTTGAAGCTTTGCAGCAGAGTGAATTTTTATAGGGAAATTTGAAGAGCATTACCGATCCGTTCCTCATTTCTTTCGTTGAACTTAAATTTGATAAAATAATCTTTTTATTAAATTTTCAACAAATTAAAAAATATATTTTTTTATTAAATTAAAATTTCATCAAATTATTTATGAAATATAAATTTGATAAAAGTTTTAAAAAATAAAATATTTCTTAGAATTTATTTATTTTAGATACTAGGGACAGACATTACAAAAACAAACGTTTTAACAATAAAAGGTTCAAAAGAAGACTAAGGCCTCATTTGGTAAGTGTCCTTTTTAATTAAAAAGTTAAAAAATTATTAAAAAAATTAAAAACTCAACAATAATATTAAAAAGTCAAAAATTTTATTTTCTCTCTACGTTTTGCAAATCTTTTCGTAAAATGCCAAAAAGTCATCCCAAACATACTAGTTTTTTTTACATTACATTTTAGTCAAAAAGTTACTAAAAAAAGCCTGTTTCCAAAAGAAGCCTAAGGCTCGTTTTGGAAAATGGGTTAAAAATTACTTTCCAACTTTTAACTCACTTCCCTCTCTTATAAAAAAGTTTAAAAAAAGTTAAAAAATAGATTTTAACAATCTTTCCAAAACACTCTTAAAGTGATATTTTGAAAAGATGATAAAAAGTTAGGCACTGTTTGGTTGTCGTTTCAAATCATTATTTCACTCGCATCTTCCAATACTCTATTTGGTTGCAATTTTCAAAACATGATTCCAAGTCCACATTTGAAAATATGTTCGGTAAATCAGAATTTTTGAATTGAACAACCAAAAAGAACGGATTGGGTCTACCTGATTGTTCGCCCAGACATTCTCCTGGATAGTTTTTGAAGTTTTTGATATACTCAATCATCCGCCCGAACATCCTCCCGAATGTTTGGCCGGTTGACTGGAACAGTGTTTTTTTTTTTTTTTTTTTTTTTTGCAATTGCCAAATATATATATATATATATATTATATTTTTTAATATTAGAATTATTTTTTTAGACTAAAATGACAAATTATTTGGCCATTTATTTAAAATTAACAACAAAAAATTTTAAATAAAAATTAATTTGTCACATTAATTTTTAAAAAATAAAAAAAAACATTTTTAAACAAAACAATTAAAAAAAATTCAATCAAAAGTAATTTTAAAGTACTAGCTAAATATTTTTTTAACAAAAAATAATATATATTTGCAATATTTTAAATAAAAAAATTCGGAATTTTTTGAATTTTTTAAATAAAAAAAATATTTTTCCAATAATTTTTTTTTTGAATTGAATTTTAAAAAGAATTTAGCTATGAGTTTTGAATAGAATTTTTAATAAAATTTTGAGTTGTGTGCTTGGTTATGAGTAATCAATTTTTAATTAAGTTTTAAAAATGCTTTTCAAAAGTCAAAACCAAACAACTTTTTTTATTTTAAAAATTCAAAACTAAATTCAAAATTCAATTCAAAATTCTTTTCAAAATTCATAACCAAACAAATTTTTTTTTTCAAATCATGATTCAACAACTCACAAACTCAAAATACAACTTCATTCTCAAACTATGATTCTAAAAATAAACCAAACACTATTTTAATTTTTTGAATTTTTTGATTTTTTTTTAGTTTTTTTTTTGTGTAAAAAAGTAGAGACGTGATGTAATCCAAAAAAGTCAAAAAACTAAAAATAAAAAGGGTAAATTACAAATACACTCCTGAGATTTGATTAAAATACAAATCGGCCCCTATAGTTTTAGAAATTACATTCCACCCGTTGAGATTTCTAATTTCATTACAAATCGTCTCTTTTATTAATAAATCATCAAGTCAATTAACAGTTTTTAATGATGTTATAAATATGTTTCAATTAATAATTAATGTAATTTTATTATTATATAGGAGAGCAATTATGAATTTTTTTTTTTTAGTTAATTCTGTTAAATAAAATTTTTTAACAAATGGATATTTGTAATTTTTTAAATTACAAGAAAAAATCTGTACATTAGGTAAACTTCAGGAAATATATTTATAATTTATTAAAATAAAAAAAAAAGTTGAAAAATCAATCTTCCCAATTTGCCCCTATGCCCGGCTCCGACCATATCAGCCACTAGAAAAGGCCTAGGAGCTTTGGAGGGGTCTTCATAACTGCCAATGCCTAGCTCTGCTCTAAAATGGGCGAGTTCTGATCTTCTTCTTTTTCTACATTATTTTAGTCCATCTTTTTATCTTTTTATTTTTTTTAAAGTTATATCATTCAACATCTCTTCTTTATTTTTTTACACATCTTTTTATAAAAAATCAAAAAATAAACTTATTTAGAACATTCCAAACCACCCCTAAATTTGATAAAAATAAAAATTTAGAATAAGGATGGAATTTGTAAAAATATTTTAACGAGATTTTGATTAAAAAAATTGAAGTATTTCATATAAAATTAAAATTTTTACTTAAATTTAGAAATAATTTAAACTTAAAAAGTTGATGAAGGATTATAGATATCAAATTTGAATTTGATAAAAACTTTGTTGAGAATGACTTCCAACCGTTTCATTAAATTTGTATTAAAAAATTGAATTTTCACTAAAATCTTCATCAAATCAAGGCAAAAACAAAAATTTCACTAAATTTTATATTAAAAAAAAATGGGATAAATCTGGAATTTTCAAAAAATATTTGATGAAAATACGAAATCTTATAAAGTTTTAAAATACTTAATCTTATAAATGTTTCAATTTCATTAGGTTAGATATTTAACTATAATTTTTTTTAAAAAAAATTCAAACTCATTTTTTTAATTATTGTTATTTTTTTTTTATTCATATTCATTTGTTACGTTAGAAATCATTAACTGAAAATTTAAAATATTTAAGGTAGCTATTCTAAACTTATTTATTTGTAAATATTCATTTTTGTGGCAGAGCGAAAACCCCAAATTTTGCTATTAAAGTTCAACTTAAGTTTTGAAAATGTTAAATCACCTTTTCTTTGCAAATAAATCTTGATAAACAATAAGATAAGGTAAAGAGAGAGATTTACTGACCAAGAAAAATGCTCTTTCTTTGATAACCTTCATGGATATCTTTGGCACCACAATGCAAGTAGCATCAGTTCAAAAATCTTCAAACCACAATCTCAAAAGAAAGATTTCATAAACTCACAACTGAGATCCAATTGAGAGCATTCAACCTATTTAGAAGTAGTACAAACAAAAAATAAAAAAATTGCTAATTTTTTTGGCCTTTCCCAAAAACAATAAATAATAATAAAAATAATCAGAAAAGAGAACATTATCCAAAAAATAAATAAATTCATAAACTCAACCCAGTCAAGCAAAGAAAAACTTTTTCCTCACCCCAGTTCAAAAGTTTAGCAAAGGGGAACTTTTTCCTCAACCAAAAATTTGATCATTCGATTAATCTCTCCCTCACCTTCCATTCCCTGTGAATTAATAAACACATCAAATAGAGAAACAATTTATCAAGCATTTTGCACGGGAAAGAAATAAACATTCTCGTATAATCCTGTTGATCAAGATTGCGCTCCTCCGTACGTCGTCGCTTTACTCCCTGAAAACACAAACGTGAGCTAGCCGACGGGTGTGTGCCGGATACCTCTCTGATGCCTAAGTCAGTAAAATAGACAAATAGACAAAAGCTCTGTGTATTCAGGAATCAAAGTTGTGTTACCTCTCCATAGGTGATGTTTGTGAGCTTTTATAGGTTCCGTGTGGCACAATCCTAGTAGGACTTTTACTCCTCCATGTAGAGTCCTCCTAGGATTCATTTTCCTGAAAGATAATGCTTATCCTTCAACACCCCCCTCACTGCTTAAACCAAGTGAGATGGTTTTACCATGGCCGGACTCCAACATGACCGAGGTAAACATGGCTATGCTAAGCCGCAGACTACACCGAGATAACTCTACTTCGGTTCTTCCATTCACTGCTACCACGGTTTTCCCAATGCTGACCATAGTATTGTTAAGTCCGTGCTAACCATTAGCTAGGTCCGACAGAGCTAGCTGCGCTATACCGTGACCGAACTAACTCTGAGTGTGGCATCCTGGCGACCGAGCTATCCGTAGTGCTCTCCTGGACCGAGATAACAATAAGCTTTCTGGGTCCGGATTAACTTTAGGGCCGTCTGGGACCGGACTATCTTCAAGGCTCTGGGACCGGACTAATCTTCAAGGCCTTTTTACTCTGCCCTCCGTATTGTGGCCCATAATGGCCCATTGCCCAGCTCGGCCCAATTTATAAATATAAATTACCCTCTCAAGTGTCCTTTAATTCCATCTGCGTAGCATGATAGGGATTACCTGTTTTACCAACTGAACCAAAAATTCTAGTCTGACGACCGAACTAAAAACTCTTTTAACCTTTTTAGCCGAACTAAATTCATGCCGGCTCTACCTGTCCGGTCAAAAACGTCTCTTCAATCACAACAACTGAATCGCTTCTCATTCCAAGGACACATGGCATGTTCTCATTGGTTGAAGGCAGCTGTCACGCCGTCTTCGTATCTCGCGAAATTTGAACAGTCCCGCCCTTTTTGTCTTTCCTTCTACACACTATTCATCTCCTTCATTCTCTATCTCTGTGCTTCTACTTCTTCAACCCCTGAGCTCGTTGAGTTCGTGTTCTTCACTGTCGTTGCTTCCATCTTCGATTTTTCTGCCGTAATCTGGTAAGTAACTCAACCTTCTAACTCCTTTTGGTTGATTTCGCACCCTCTTTGCAATACATTACATGTTTTTCAAAACACACTGTCTGCTTCCATTTTCTGCTTAGCTCTGTGTTTTCTGTAAACACTTAGTAATAGAACCACTTGGATTCAAGAAATAATATGAGAAACGCTAGTTTTGATCCAAAATCATAATATAACCGAACTAGGAAGTTGTTTGTAGTGTGGATGTTAATCTAGCCAGGCTATCAACCGGACTAGCACTTCATGCTGAACTAGTAGTTTCACCAAGTCAAACCACCTTTTGCTTCATTTGATTTGGCCGAGCTATCGATCTGTACTAGGTTTGCGCAATAGTATGCCTAAAAGACTAAACCACGATCGAGCTACAACTCGGGGCTAAACCAGCCTTCTTAGCTCTAACCGAACTAAGAATGCTGCCCCTAGAGGCTCAGCCGGACTAACAAATCCCTTGCTAAAACCGAGTTAACAGACCCCTTGCCCAAACCTGAGCTTAAGACACGAAGCACTTCACATAGCCGAGCTAGGACTTCATTTATCTTGCTTGTGTTTCTTTTAGCACGGTCTCACGATCTGTGCTTAACACCTCTGTTTTTCACTTTGCAGACTTAGGTTGCCCAGGCACTCCTTTGAACGCTCAACCGAGCTACTCAGCACCATTCTCCGACCGGGCTAACACCCACGTATAATTTATTCATAACTTAAACCACAAATGGGAAAGTATAGGTTTTTAGTTAACTCCTCTGGTGCAATGGCTGAATTTCGCAAGGACTACCAAATCCCAGATGATGTCCACATTTCACTGGCCGAGCTAGACACCATCCCCTGGCGAAAACATGGTTTTGTCCCCTTTAACGTTATTTCAATCGTAGAGTGCGGTCTACGTTTCCTTGTACAGCCCCTTCTCTGCGAATTCCTTAGGCAAACCAAACTCTGCCCTACCCAACTATCCACCAATTCTTACCGTATAATAAACGACATTGCCGCATTAAACCACCGGGCTGGCCTTAACCTCAGCCTAGCCGAGCTCATTCATCAATACTCCATAGGATCAAAAGAAGACGGCTGGGTTTATTATTTAAGAATACGACGCCGTCGAGAAAAAAATAATCAAAGATACCCCAGATAAAGATTTAAACGACGATGATTTCTTCTGAGTTTCTGGGAACTTCAAAAATCAAGAAGCCCAGATTCCTGGTGACCAAATAAACTGGAATAAAGGGACCACCGGTATAATTACCTCGGCTCTATTGCATGTTCTTCGTTATTTCGGTATTCTATTCCTTAACCGAACTAACGGTTGTCTTCTTTATGCAGATTCGGCCCACCTTAAATCACTATACAGTTACCCCAATCTAAACACACTTCGCGCTGCACTACGATACCCTGAAAGAAGTTGGGCCAAGTTACTGAATTTTGAACCAACGTACAGATACAGCAGTCGACGAAAAGTCTGAGTAACAGACTTCTTGCTAGAGGCATCTCCTGAACCGGATCCAACCTTGCCACAAATTAACCTGGTCCGTACTACTGCTGAACAAGAGATGGCTAAGAGGAACAGAGTAAGGGCCCTTCTAACCGAAACAAACCGAGCCAAGGTAGCATCACCCAACCAGCCTCAGGAAACCGTGGTGGCCCTTCCATCTCAACAACCCTCCTCATCTCGCCCAAGTAAGCAGGCCCGGACTACCCCAACCGAGCAACGCCTTGTTGATGAAGACGAAGCCAATCTTTCACCAAGCTCTCCACCGAGCCCGCGACCGGAGCGTTCCAACCGAGCTAGCTCCTCCAAGTGGGCACCCAAATTTACATTTAAAAGCCGAGCAATTCAGGACACTGACTCAGTGGTCGCTGAAAAAGATCACTTAATGGCATTTAACCTTGCCAAGAGTGTCTGCCTTTCAGTAGACATGGAGCACCACAAACATCTGACCAAACTAAAAGCCATTCGTTTGGCCACGAAATCCATGGTGCTTGTAAGTAGCTTTTTATGTTAATCTTTCTAATTTGCACAACTTTCATCTCGGTTTGATTACAAGTCTTCCCCTTCTTTTGCAGGCCATGCAGAAGAGCCACATCGCCCATAAGCGTGTGCTGGAACTTCGCAAGACTACAAGGCAAGCCATGGCCAAAGTGACTGAAAAAACTGCCGAACTAGAAAAAGCTAGGAAGCAAATAGCCGAGCTAAATTTCGAGAACGGTCGTCTAGCCGGACTTGTTAGCTCGGCTGAAGTAGAAAAACAAAAAGCTGCAGCCGTGATGAAAGACAAATATTTGCGCAAACTTGCTAAACTTGAGGGAAAAAAAAACGTCGAGATAGAGAAGCTGAAGAAGAGCGCTGATGATGCCGAGCTCCAGGGTTACAAGGAGGGGGAGGCGACTTACATTAAACAATGTGAAGCTGCCAAGGATCTCTTCTTCAAATGCTGTTGGAGGGCGGCTGTAGTGCAGCTCGGTCATAGTCCAGAGACCGAGGTCTTCGACGCTCCTGCATACTTTATTCCGAGCTCTATGACGGAATACGCTGCTGCCCTTCAGCAATAATTTCTTGAGGATTCAGATGATGATGAAGAAACCGTGCCCAAAGATACCGCGGCTGTTAGTGATCCTGTCGATCAGTCAGTTCGGTTGGAGCCAATAGTGGAAGACCTGACCAACGAGTTGCCTACTGAAACCGTTCTTCCAACCGAGACCATTCTGCCGAATGAAACCGGGCTCCGAGTAGATATTGACGTCGACCTTGATGATCTGTTTAACTGACTTTGTATTTTTCTTCTTTTTGGAAACAAATTGTAGCCGGGCTGAGGCCCCACCCTTTGTACTTGCTTTTGAATTTTCCAATGAAGTCTGCTTTTGCTCCAACTGTTATCTTGGTTTACTTTCCTGTTTGTGCTTGCTTTCTTACTACAATTTGAATGAAACACAATATTTCCCAACCGAGATACTTTACCCCGGTCATACCTGCCAACCTCTTTAGCCTTGATTCTTATCTGGGCTAAAGAACAGTAAGTGTTGGTTTTTCCAGCCAACCACTCTTTAGCCGATATCCTTTCTTCGACTGAAGAGTAGAGTACTAAGAGTTGGTTTAATCCAGCCAACCTACTCCTTAGCCGATATCCTTACTTCGGCTGAAGGGTACCAAGAGTTGGTTTAGTCCAGCCAACCACTCTTTAGCCGATATGCTTACCTCGGCTGAAGAGTACCAAGAGTTGGTTTAGTCCAGCCAACCTACTCCTTAGCCGATATCCTTACTTCGGCTGAAGATTACGAATAGTTGGTTTAATCCAGCCAACCTCTAAATTGGTTATTCCTGCCAATTTAGAAAAATGTTTGGATATTCCTGCCAAACATCCTGCAGCCTGGATCCTTATCCTGGGCTTAGGAAAGGTGTTGGTTTTTCCAGCCAACCTGTAGATTGGTTTTTTCAGCCAACCTAGGGTATATTGTTTGGTTATTCCGACCAAACGTCCTGCAGCCTGGATCCTTATCTTGGGTTGAGAAAGGGTGTTGGTTTAATCCAGCCAACCTCTAAGTTGGTTTTTCTAGCCAACCTAGAATATAGTGTTTGGTTATTCCGATCAAACGTCCTGTAGCCTAGGTCCTTATCTTGGGCTTAGGAGGGGTGTTGGTTTTTCCAGCCAACTTTGCTTTTAATGCCCCTAACTCAGTAAAACAATCTCTTACAGAAGGAAACAACTATACTGAAAAGAAGCTACTTATTTTATTGAGAAAGGA